TGTCTCGGGTGTGCAGATCTGTTATGTGGACCCGTCAGGTGGTACATGTTACAAAGCAGTCCCGGTTCCCTGTCTCTGCCAGTCCAAATTACAGCTGTGCTTTATAAATGACTGCAGTGTACACTGCAGCACAAAATTAAGACGAGTCAGTCGTGTGTCCTGTCTTCTGAAAACAGTGAGTTTTGGGTTAGAACGGTCTGATGTGTGTGTGTGAAGCACATCTGTCAATCACAGCGTCACCGTCACTCGGGGAAGAGGTGTAAACCTTATTTGAAGTCCACTTTGTAAGAGTATATGAACTGGGGGTGGGATTAAAAATAGTTAAATTTGCTTTTTCAGCCTTAGCATACTTCGTGTGTGTAGATGATCAGCCCAGCGTGCACCAGTTACAAGCATCTTTCAAACTCTCGTTTTTCTTTATGCAGCCAAAATGAAGTTCAATCCATTTGTGACCTCAGACCGCAGCAAGAACCGCAAACGACACTTCAATGCGCCGTCTCACATTCGAAGAAAAATCATGTCCTCCCCCCTCTCCAAGGAGTTGAGGCAGAAATACAACGTCCGCTCCATGCCCATTCGCAAGGACGATGAAGTCCAGGTAGCTGCGCTCTCTGTCCTTTACATTGTACCGTCACACGGGGTCTTGTCTCTGTGTTTTGGTTTCCCTCTGCAGAAGGGAAGGGCTAAACATGCTCAAGTTTGAGCTTTGCCGTGAGTCTTCCAGAAATAATATGGGTTAACGGAGCCATGGACTTGGCCTTTCGAGTGTTGCTTGAGATCACATCAGTGAAAAGGAAAACACAAGGAGCACAAGCGTGGTGGCACCTTTGCTGCATTTTAGTTACGTGTGTTGATTGTCACACTGCATTAAAAACAACTAACAACAAAACAAAAAGCAAAGGATTATTTCTTTTCTGTAGACTGTTTGCTACCTGTAATATTTGAAAGATCAGTTTAGAAATGCATCCAAGTTAAGTGGCTTTTTTGTTTTAAAATGCAATGACAGGTGAAAAATTAACAAAAAACTGTTGAAGTTGACCCTTATTCTTCTTGCTGAGAAGATACAGAGAAAATGAGGGAAAAGTCCAGTTCTGATCTGTTATATTTTCAATTTCGGTGATTGCTAAAATGGTCTAGTAATGGATGTGTTTCTGGCATGTGTGTACAAAGACTAGACTTGGGATTTCAACCTGTGTAGTTCTGTTTTTCTGTTGGGATAATTAGGTAGCTTTTCTTAAGGTCTGCTAATTATTTAACGGGTGGTTTTGAAGCACGGGACAGTATGCTTCTTTACGTTGTTGTTCAGGTTGTCCGGGGCCACTACAAGGGACAGCAGATCGGCAAAGTGGTGCAGGTGTACAGGAAAAAATACGTCATCTACATCGAACGTGTTCAGCGTGAGAAGGCGAACGGCACCACTGTCCACGTGGGGATCCACCCCAGCAAGGTACGGTGCTTGAGCTCAGACCGGGGACACGGGGGGAGACCTTGTTGCTGGCAGATGAAAGCGCTGCTGGTGGCATAACTAGAACCTCCTTACGGTGTGTGGGATAACGGACTGAGGTGCTACAGCATCACGGGGGGTAATAAACAGGGAAATGTTGTCTAGCACACGGTGTTGTGATAGAGAAATGACAGCTGAAAGCAAGAACTCCTCGATGTTTCTAGGGCTTATTTGGTGGAGAAGCTGCTAGAGACTTTGGAGTCTTGCTGAAATACTTTTTTGAAGAGCTTGGTGTTTTTTAAGCACAAAATAGATCGTTGAGAAAAATCCTTTGCTATGTGGCATTTGCACTGTGTTAGGAATGTTTAGATAGAGGCTCAGAATCGGGATTTGTTCTTGTGGATTATTGTGAACAAAGTTCTTCTGAATCTGGTTTTAGCCTGAAGTGATTTACAATGTTTAGAGTTAGTGGAAAACCAGGCAAAGCCTGTTTAGATCATAACAGGAAAACATTTCCAACTCAACAGAACAAGTAGCCAAAACCTGGTTTGAAGCAGATGAGATCAGTCTGCTTCAGCCTTGCCGAGCGGGCACACGTGCTGAAGTGCTGGTGGAAGAAATCCAGTTGTAACAGGTTTTCTGGTCTAAATGGTTGGCGTGTTCAGCAGAGGGAAAGCATAATTATTCCAAAACAACATAACGACTTGTGTGCAGTAATAACATTTGAGGGACAAGGTGACATTGCGATGGAACCAGTAAATAGCAGTGGAAGAAATTGAGATTTGTGCTGGTCCTTCATTCCTCTGAAAGTTTCCTCTAATTGGGAATCAGAAATTGATAAAGCTTTGCGTAAAGATTGCGGGTTATTAATGCAGGCAGAAGAAAAGAATGTTTTGTTTGTTGCAAACTTGCAGTGGGGTGGATGAACAGTTTGTACCTCTCCTAGGTAAAGGTAGGAATTGATTGTAATTAAGAGAGACCTGAGCATACAGTAGAACTGAGCGGGAGCCTGCAGCTCCTGCTGCAGCTGATGTGGTTTTTTTCTAGGATTTGATGGTCAGTGGCATTTATGAAGTGCTCTCGGGAACACCAACACATTGATTTCTTTGCTGGTTGGAGGGGGCACAGAGAGCACTGAAAGCTGCTTCTGGGCTGAAAATCAGAGCTGCAATTTGCTGCTGCTTTGTTAGGAGATCCCATTAAAGCTCTGGTAGCAAACGGGGTGCGCAGTTACCTTTAATGTGTCCATGTTAGTAATACCTGATGATTGCCTGGCCGCTTCGCAGCTGTTCAATAGCAGATGTGTTCTTTAAAGTGTCTTTGTGTGAGTCACTATGAAGCATGAACTTTTACTTTTTTGCCTGTAGTTTAGCCAGATGTATTGGCTATTCCAACCACCACAGCTATGATATGATATGATATGATAATGCCCAGTGGCAGCAGCATCGTTTTCCAGTGTTCTGAAATTCAGACAGCATTGCTTAAAACATGGAGAAATTAAAATTATGACCCATTACTTGCCTTTGTGGTGGTGGGAAGAAGCTGTAGGCTGTGTTTTAGATGGGTGGAGCATCCATCATGTTTGAGTAGCGAAATGGAAATGAGATTTAGTTCAAAGTAATTATTGTGTTATGTAGATGGATAGAAATTTGGCTGCTCTTCAGTTTGTACAAATGTTATGGCTGTGCATTGAAAAAAACTGTCCATATGTTCTCGTCACTGAATGTACCCAGAAAAATTAATATAGCTCAGTGTTTTGAAATACAGAAAGGAATTTAGTACCTCTGTTCTACTCAAACCAAATTAGATAGTCTATGGAAACAAAACCTGGGGGATTTGGTGCAGTCTGTCAGCAGTCATCTTCCTGGGCCGTGCTGTTCCTGCAGTTGTGTCAGGTTGCTGTGCTTTAACGCTGATGAGACACTAAATTCTTTGTCCTTTCTCTAGGTGGTGATCACTAGGCTAAAACTGGACAAAGACCGCAAAAAGATCCTGGAGCGTAAAGCCAAGTCTCGCCAGGTTGGCAAGGAGAAGGGCAAATACAAGGAAGAAACAATCGAAAAGATGCAAGAATAGATGGTTTCCTTTTTGACACCATTAAAGAACTGTTAAAATTAAACCTATTGTTGTGTCTTCTCCTTTAGAAAGTTTTGATCAGCATTTAAATATTCATTCTCTTTTGGATGTTGGCTATGTAAAACATACTTACACTAAATTAAAAAGCTTTTTATACCTTTTTTTTTACTTCTACGGAAACAAAAGACTTTTTCCCCGTAAAGGGATGTTTCAAGCGACAGAAAGAGTAATGCAATCCTGAAAACATGCATCTAATGACAGTTGTGCATCTGTCTCTTCCACTGATCTTTTAACACTTACTTAGATGAGTCCATGGTTTTAAATGAACATGTTAATTCTGTGCCCCATATATATTTAATGTTTTTTTAAAGTGAGCTGTTTCTGACCATGAATCTCTTTCTGGAATCCTCTTAAATTATGGGTTTTTTCAACTGTTTCATGTGTTTGACAGTAAAGGATGGTATTTCAGAGGTTCCCCAGCCGTACAGCGCTGCGTTTGCTGTGTGATGTCTCGGGCTCTCGGGTTAATGCTGGAGCTTGAGGAGGGGGGTTACCTCAGCAGTGCTGGTGGGGTGGAGCGGGCTGGCTTCCAAAGGGCAGGAGCGAAGGCAGAGTCAGTGCTGTCGCTAACGGTATTTAGGGTGAACTTTCCTATTAAGTGGAAATCAGGTTTTTAGAGATTTATAGATGTATAATTGAGAGCTGCTGCAGCATGTTGAAAACAGCTGTGCAAGTAGTTGAAGTTAGTGGTGCAGTGAATCATGGAATCATGGAATTGTCAGAGTTGGAAGGGATCTCTAGAGATCATTCTAGTCCAGCTCCCCTGCCAAAGCAGGGTTGCTCACAGCACATCACTCAGGATGGCATCCAGGCGGGTCTTGAAAATCTCCAGAGAAGGGGACTCCACACCCTCCCTGGGCAGCCTGTTCCAGGGCTCTGCCACCCTCACCATGAAGAAGTTTTGCCTCGTATTTGAGTGGAACTTTCTATGTTCCAGCTTGTGCCCGTTGCCCCTTGTCCTGTCCCTGGAAGCCACTGAAAGTGTTTATTTTTGAGAATGGCCCTCTGCTGATAAGGAAGGTCAGCTTCTGACTGAACGACACTGCAGTCTGGGATGCTGAGAATGGAGCAAAATTAAATTTGCTCTTCTGCAATCGTTTATGGGCGTTGACGCTTGACAGGAAGGCTGATTTAGAAGGCGGCTCTGAATGTCACTTCTTTTACGTAGGCTCAGCGGGTTGTCCCCCGCCGCTCCCACACTTCCCTCGGTGCCGTTTCTCTTCCTCTTGAGCCAGAGCCCCGAGCGCCTTCCCGGTGTTTTGATGAGCCCGGAGCCGGCCCCGGAGCTCCACCCCTGCCCCGAAGGCTGGTTCCTTCTCCCCGTCTCGGGCTGGGTCCGGTGCAGGCCCATGGCCGCCGCCGCCGTCCCCTCGTCGCGCCTCCGGTGACGTCGCGGGCGCTGATTGGCGGAGGCGGCGGGGCGGGGCGCGGCGGCCGGCGGTGAGGAAGGGAAGGGGAGGGGAGGCAGCTCGCCGGGCCGCACCGAGCAGCTTCCCCCCCTCCGGCTCAGCCATGGCGTACGGTGGCCTGACGGTGCCCATCATCGTCATGAGCGTTTTCTGGGGGCTGGTCGGCGGCGTCCTGCCGTGGCTCGTACCCAAGGGGCCCAACCGCGGGTGAGTGACCGGGAGGCCGGGGCAGCTCTGAGGGCGGCGGCGGGCCCCTTCCCTTCCTCCTCAGGCGTCGGGGGGGCAGCGTGCGAGGAGGCCCTTAGCGGAGGTGGGCCCGGCGCCCCGTACCCTAGCGGGCCCGCCGGGCAGCAGCGGCCTTGCGGCCCCGGCTCTCTCTGGAGTTCCCCTTTCCTCCGCCGTCGAGGCCCGGCGGCCGCCGTAGCGCCGTATGAGCCGTGCTGGCCGTTCCGCCGGGCCCGGAGCCGCCGCCTCCTGCCGCAGTGGCCCTGCGGGCTGCCCGTCGCTGTGCTGGCGCAGCGCGGAGGGCGGGCGGGCCCGGGGCCCAGGCGGCTGTGCCAGCCGGGAGCCAGGCCCCAGTAAACGCCTGCGAGGCTTCCCGAGCACAGGGCCGGAGCCGGGAGAGGAATCTCTGCCCTTAATAATCAACGAGCTTGAGTTTTCCCCTCAAGCCCAGTAAAACTCCGCATACGCGGCCTCCTGGGGCGTGGAGGTGTGTGATGAAGTTAGATGGGGATGAGCAATAACTTCCTTTTTCTTTCCTTACTCGTCTTTGTCTAACTTACTCCAGCATCCTCCAGTTTCATACTGGATGAGACTGCAAAAGTTCCTGTAGTAAATCTCTGTTTGGTGCTTAAATGTGTGCTAGTGGCCTTGTCGCTGTGATGGCCTGAGGACAAAACCAAGGCCTAAGCAGAGAACGTTTTTCCTGCAGGGATCATAGATGCTCAGATTAAAAAGTAGACAAGGTTTTGTCTTTCTCTTTTCCCTAGGAGATAATGACTTCTTAATCTCTCTTCTTCTCTCTGACATCCCCTCTACTCCACAGGTACCAACTGTCTTTTCTCTAAGTTGATTATCTAAACTTGGAGGAATTTTCCTCAGTCCTACTTAGCTCTGATATTTACTGCCACACTTTTAAACTTGAAGTGTGTTTTCTGCCTGAAAACTTGCCTGTTTTAGTACGTGTCTTGGAAATAAGTCTTCCAGCCATGTCCTTAAAGTATGTGGGTCACCAGCAGATGTTCTGTTGTTACTCCAAAATGTGATTAACAAATGTGTTCTGATTCTATAAGAACACATCTGTAGTAACACTGTGTAGTCTGTTAACTTCTCATGGTCTTAAAAAAAAAACCCGAAAGAAAAAAACCAAACAAAAACTCAAAGCCTGTTTCTGAACAGGATTGTTCTTCTTCTAACATCTTCTTCTAACAAAAAGAAGTCAATACAAACTTTAATTGACCTAAGAATTCACACTGCATGTGTTAAAACTTCCGAACAATGTCTCTGGGACTCCTGGAAAGGAGGAGGTCCTGAAGCTTTGTTGGATTTGCTTGAAAGTTGACAAGATGGGTGTGTGTTGATAGAAGAAAAAATTGGATGTTATCCATGTCACAAAAGGGTTGGAAGTTAATGAGATGGCATGAGTTTTTGTTACTTGGTTCAGGGGCGAAATCCATAGAGAGAAATACTTTTTAATAATTTAAAAGAAAAAAAAACCAATCCTCTACTTTGCTACTAAGTTCCATGAGCTGCATAGATCGATTGCTATTAGAAAACCTCATTGCTTTTCCTCCCGTTTCAAAATCGTGTGTGTGTGTAGCTGCAGTTTTTCCATTTTCAGTTTCAATAGCTGGTTGGTTCTTGCTTCTTTTCAGCTTAACTATGGTTTCTGACACAGTTTTCTTTCAGCAAGAAAGGAAAATCTTACCCTACAGATAATTGTGTGTGGCTTTGAGATCCTATTTTGTATTGAGTTTGAGAAACCCTTAGTCATGATATAAAAATTAAAAGATATATTTTGATACCAAAATTTTCTGTAAGCAGAATTTTGCAAATGGAGAAAATGTTTACAGAATACTGGTAGTGTTAGATCATCCAGTTTCAGTAGTTTACTAACTTGCTGGTAGAAGTGACTGTGAAATGGAGTAAGGACATTGACTGCATAAGATTTTGCTCCTCTTAGGAGTGATTTTTGTTAAATACAGTTGTATACCTCTGTTTGCCAGAGCTGTGTCAGTTCTTTTGCAGAGTCTCAGGCTGGGCCTCTGCAACTTACTCAGCTGGAAGAAGTTAGAACGTTCATGTTGAGTCACCTTCCATATGATCAAAGTTGAACTAGTTCTTGTTTGCTTTTGGGTTTTTTTTTCCGATGTATCTTGTGGTCAGTCATAACATGACACTTAATCAGCTGTTTCTCTCCTTCCTTTTCACAGTGTTATCAACACAATGCTGGTGACATGTGCTGTTTGCTGCTACCTGTTGTAAGTATAAATAATGTCTTGCCTCTTAATCAAGGCACAGTTCTGATGTAATCAAAAGTTCCTTCTTTATATCCTCAAAACATTTAGGGGGCATCTTTTCAAACGTGTCATGGAGATTTTGACACGTGTGTTCTTTGACAGCTCTTAGAATTCTTAGTTCTAAAGACCTTCAACTTGCTGGAGAGAACGTTTTTCCCGTTGGAAGATACTGAATTAAATCAGAATTATACTTGTCCTCTGGCACGTCACTGTTGAATAGTGCCCTGTGTTGACCTGATATTATTCCTTTCCAGTTCACTAGCTTATTTGCTCACAAGTGTAACGGCAGTTTGTCAATTCTAGAATTTTTCTGATTCATGGTAGCAAAATGAATTTTTGCCTTTTTCATTCTTTATACTTTAAATTTATTTCTAGGGTGATATTAATTTAAACCTACTGATGTGTTTTGCTTTACTCGGTTTGACTGAATATATTCTTAAAATCTGGTAGAGCAGTGGGTGGAAAAACTTACACATACGGGTTTTTTTATATATGACAAATATTTTTTGTGACATTGAAATAGTAAGACTGTTTCTATTTAAATGCACAGTATATTTTGAGGCTGTAAGAGAATTAGTAGAAAGAATAAAATACCTTGTTGAGGTGCTTGTCATACCATGTTTGGTTTTTGTCAAGGTAATCCAGCTGTAACCTGCAAGAGAAAGCATGTTTATTGTTTTCTCTCTCTTCTTGTTTTTGGTTCTGTTTTGGTGTTTAAGACTAGAGACTGATCTTGTTAAAGAAAGTGCTAAGCAGAAATAACTGAATTTGCCATGGAGAGTAAACTGGTAAAAGTCTGGTTGGATCTTTAGGGTTAACTTGTAATAAAATCATTATTCAGACTTCCACCTGAGCCTGAGTAGTCTTTGTACTTTCCTGAGGTTTTTAGGCATTATTTATGCTACTCTAAGGAGCTTAACATGAATATTTAGAAAAATGGATCTCTAATCTCAAGATTCATTCTTAAGAACCAACAGCCAAAAGCCATATTACTGGTGTCAGCATATTCCAGGAGAAGCCTGTTTAGTTCCACAATGGGTTGGCCTGTGGCACAGGCTCATGCAGGTTTGATTTAGTTCAATAATGTGATATTCAGGTTTTACACAGGTGAGGCCTATTTATTTTTTTTAATTCACTGTATTTGATATGTGAAGTCTTAACAGCTATCCAGAAGAATGATTTCATAAAGTACAGCAAACTTGATCCTGTGGGGTTTTTTTATCCATGACTGTTTTTTAAATGAGTTTTGCTAAGCAGATGTAGAAACTTGAGAAGAGCTTTGTAGTGCCAGCAACTTGAATGTGAGATTGAAATCTGGGAATCTTGGTGCTATGAAGTTGCCAACACTACAAAGCTTCCCTGCTCATAAAGTATGTAGCAGCCCAATCTCCTGATAGGTCCCAAATGCTTCCCGAAGAAAGGGCAACCGGATGCTCATTTTCACTAGGTTACTGTGTTTTGGTTACAGTAAATTGGGGTAGGGTTTGGGGGGGGAGAATGTTATGGGTTTTGTTTTGGTTTTGTTTGTTTAAAATTCTCACTTAAGTTCTTCCTATTCTGTATTTTAACAAATAATGTCCTACTCTTCTAAAGTCCTAGAAGCTTAGGGTTCATTTTCCTTATTGTTTGAAGAAGGGCAGTTTCCTTGAATTTGAGGCCATGTGGCATCTGCACAATCATCTAGATTATGATGTGAAATGTATTTGTTGTAAAGCTTCATAACTTTGACTATATGCTGTGAACTCTTCAAATGTATGGTGCTGTTTCACTTGTAAGTTAAGTGATTTTTGTACTGAGACAGACCTATTATAAATCTAGTGTCATTAACATGACTTAAAATCTGTCCTTGTGTGCCCAGTGAGGGGGTTCTTTCATAATCTTGTGGGCTGTAACTTGTATTTTGTATCCCCTTTGGCTTTCTCCAATTACACCTTGGAAAAAGAGCAGCAGCAAGATCTTATTATGTTTTTAATCATCGGTGGTTATACCCAACCACATCAATTACGTATGTAGTGCCTGCTTGCCAGAATACAACAAAAAGCAGATTTTTCTCCGCATTTGTTCCAAGATAGAACTTGCCTAATCGCACAGTCTTTTTTTTCTTTCCGCCCTCCTGAATTCTGTATAAAATCGTAGAACAGCCCTGGTTGGAAAGGACCTCGAAAGATCATCTGATCCAACCTTTCTTTCCTCTGTTTTATTCAAACGTATATAAGTTTGTTCTTCCCACATCCGTTTCTTATTTTGAGGGAGGCATTGGAAAAAAAAATTTCAGGCCTTAATTTCAGTGACCAAAGACTAATTTTTCCTGCCAGTCGTGAAGGAAGCCCAAAAGAGGATTCTTTGTTGGATATGTTAGGATTAAAATAACTGGTGTTGTCCCAGGTATGGTCTCTTCTGTATTTTTGTGTCTTTAGTAGGTAACTAGTACCATTACCTACTTCTTTGTAGAGCTGTTTAGAACTCTGCTAGACCTGCTTTCATACTCTTCGAGTTTCCTTTCCAGTGAAAATAGGGGCAAAAAACTATTTCTTGTCTTTATTAACCATTTGATTGAGAAATTGATTTGCATCAAACTGAATTTGTTCTAAGTAAGTTGAAATTTGATTAACTTCAGATTTAAAGCAGTTTCTCCTGTGTTTAGATTTAGCAGGGATCATTTCGAATAACCATATTGATCGCATGGTGTTAATTTTGTTGTACTTTGAGGGGGGTGGGGGTGGAAAGCAGTTTCCAAAAAAGTGCCACAATACTCTACTAACAGAGTACAGTGTGCTCGAAAAATGGCATTATTTGCTCCTGATTCTAAAAGGATTAAAATATGGTTGCCCAAATTGACATTTAAACGGAGATAGCAGGACCTTAATTTGTATTATGCAGCATAGACAGATGGCGGTTATGGTAGAAAGACCTTTTAAAAAATCTTTCTGGTAGAACATAGGGACTTTAATTTCCTTGTCTGAGCTGGGTAATTAACACTGCCTGCTCTAAGTGGTATCTGGTAGAATTTAAGGGCCTGTGGGTGGCTCGAATGCCATACCTGATTTTAGCAACTCTGGAACGTTAGGCGTTGGATACAGAGGCTTGCTTTGTTTTACTTTGAATGCCGTGGTTTGTTTTGCGTTGTCATGATCCGTTATTGTATAAAGCAGCATCGCTTAAGCTAAATGTGGGAAAAGCTTTTCCATCTTGTTTTAATCTTGAATGCAAGGGAGTCACAGAGCTCAGTGCTTAACTACTGCTTTAAATTATTGGGCCCTAGCAGAGCAGGGAGGAGGAATATACTATTGACCTGTAATGCCACTATGGCTCAGAGCTTGGGTATCCAGCATGGTCCCAACAAATAGCTTTTGAAAACGGCACAGTGCTTGCCTAAAGCATGGTTATACAGCTGGGGGACGTCAATATTTTGAATGTGCTTCCAGCTCATTTAATTCACAGCCATGCTGGGTCTGAACTTAGGAAGCATAGAGAGGTGAGATATTTGTGCTTAGAGTTCCTTCTTTCTGTACAGTGAGAAAAAGAATAATGTGCTTTCACAGGCTTTTAGTGTTCCTACCCTCCTCCCACTCCTGTTAGTTCAGGATGCTGAAGGCAGATGGTACAGTGCTCTGGCACCCTATCTATCTGTCTTTTCTATCTGAAAATTAACCCTTGCAAAATAAATTCTGTGATACTTTTAAGAGCTAATTTGCTTTTCTCTTAAGCAAATTTAACCTCATGATCAACATTGTTTCAAAATGCGTTGTTGTCATTGCTTTGGATAGCAAAGTAGAAACATGTCAACCTAAAGGTTAGTGGCTGTTCTTGGTGGTGTCTTGAGGGGGGTGGGGGTGGAAAGCAGTTTCCAAAAAAGTGCCACAATACTCTACTAACAGAGTACAGTGTGCTCGAAAAATGGCATTATTTGCTCCTGATTCTAAAAGGATTAAAATATGGTTGCCCAAATTGACATTTAAACGGAGATAGCAGGACCTTAATTTGTATTATGCAGCATAGACAGATGGCGGTTATGGTAGAAAGACCTTTTAAAAAATCTTTCTGGTAGAACATAGGGACTTTAATTTCCTTGTCTGAGCTGGGTAATTAACACTGCCTGCTCTAAGTGGTATCTGGTAGAATTTAAGGGCCTGTGGGTGGCTCGAATGCCATACCTGATTTTAGCAACTCTGGAACGTTAGGCGTTGGATACAGAGGCTTGCTTTGTTTTACTTTGAATGCCGTGGTTTGTTTTGCGTTGTCATGATCCGTTATTGTATAAAGCAGCATCCTGAATTCTGTATAAAATCGTAGAACAGCCCTGGTTGGAAAGGACCTCGAAAGATCATCTGATCCAACCTTTCTTTCCTCTGTTTTATTCAAACGTATATAAGTTTGTTCTTCCCACATCCGTTTCTTATTTTGAGGGAGGCATTGGAAAAAAAAATTTCAGGCCTTAATTTCAGTGACCAAAGACTAATTTTTCCTGCCAGTCGTGAAGGAAGCCCAAAAGAGGATTCTTTGTTGGATATGTTAGGATTAAAATAACTGGTGTTGTCCCAGGTATGGTCTCTTCTGTATTTTTGTGTCTTTAGTAGGTAACTAGTACCATTACCTACTTCTTTGTAGAGCTGTTTAGAACTCTGCTAGACCTGCTTTCACACTCTTCGAGTTTCCTTTCCAGTGAAAATAGGGGCAAAAAACTATTTCTTGTCTTTATTAACCATTTGATTGAGAAATTGATTTGCATCAAACTGAATTTGTTCTAAGTAAGTTGAAATTTGATTAACTTCAGATTTAAAGCAGTTTCTCCTGTGTTTAGATTTAGCAGGGATCATTTCGAATAACCATATTGATCGCATGGTGTTAATTTTGTTGTACTTTGAGGGGGGTGGGGGTGGAAAGCAGTTTCCAAAAAAGTGCCACAATACTCTACTAACAGAGTACAGTGTGCTCGAAAAATGGCATTATTTGCTCCTGATTCTAAAAGGATTAAAATATGGTTGCCCAAATTGACATTTAAACGGAGATAGCAGGACCTTAATTTGTATTATGCAGCATAGACAGATGGCGGTTATGGTAGAAAGACCTTTTAAAAAATCTTTCTGGTAGAACATAGGGACTTTAATTTCCTTGTCTGAGCTGGGTAATTAACACTGCCTGCTCTAAGTGGTATCTGGTAGAATTTAAGGGCCTGTGGGTGGCTCGAATGCCATACCTGATTTTAGCAACTCTGGAACGTTAGGCGTTGGATACAGAGGCTTGCTTTGTTTTACTTTGAATGCCGTGGTTTGTTTTGCGTTGTCATGATCCGTTATTGTATAAAGCAGCATCGCTTAAGCTAAATGTGGGAAAAGCTTTTCCATCTTGTTTTAATCTTGAATGCAAGGGAGTCACAGAGCTCAGTGCTTAACTACTGCTTTAAATTATTGGGCCCTAGCAGAGCAGGGAGGAGGAATATACTATTGACCTGTAATGCCACTATGGCTCAGAGCTTGGGTATCCAGCATGGTCCCAACAAATAGCTTTTGAAAACGGCACAGTGCTTGCCTAAAGCATGGTTATACAGCTGGGGGACGTCAATATTTTGAATGTGCTTCCAGCTCATTTAATTCACAGCCATGCTGGGTCTGAACTTAGGAAGCATAGAGAGGTGAGATATTTGTGCTTAGAGTTCCTTCTTTCTGTACAGTGAGAAAAAGAATAATGTGCTTTCACAGGCTTTTAGTGTTCCTACCCTCCTCCCACTCCTGTTAGTTCAGGATGCTGAAGGCAGATGGTACAGTGCTCTGGCACCCTATCTATCTGTCTTTTCTATCTGAAAATTAACCCTTGCAAAATAAATTCTGTGATACTTTTAAGAGCTAATTTGCTTTTCTCTTAAGCAAATTTAACCTCATGATCAACATTGTTTCAAAATGCGTTGTTGTCATTGCTTTGGATAGCAAAGTAGAAACATGTCAACCTAAAGGTTAGTGGCTGTTCTTGGTGGTGTCTTGCTGATGTTTTAATTGCTTTGTAGAGCCTGGTACGTATTTCCAGGCTTGCATGACTGATAGACCGCTGCAGGCTCAGCACGTCATTTTAACTAGAGTCCTACTTTGTATAAAACTGAAAGCAGCATTGAAAATAAATATTTGTAAACCTTAAGAGGATTGATGTGTTTTCTTTAAGTCTGGCCCGCATCTTTTGCCCCTGGCTGTTCTAGCCATTTTACAGCCGACCTGTACTTCGTTTGCTGGTCAAAGCATCAAGGTTTGTGTGGAATTTTCCATGACTGCCTAAGCACTCTGATACATTTGTGGCAGCTCCCATTACAAAGCTGCTCTGCTTTTTCTCCTCCTTACAAAGCATTCTAGAAATAGCAGACAGATGAGCCAGTGTGTTCACTAAATGTGTTTATATAGTTAGTATTTAACATAGATTTAAATCCATGGAAGCATCCATTGTTCTTTCTGAATATTGTAATATTTACAAAGCAAATATAGCTTTTAACAGTGGAATATTTATTTCTGTTTAGCTCTCCTGGATATTTTCCACAAACTGCATTCCTCTTGTTCTCAGTTCTGGCTATGGCTTCTGCAGTGTTAGTTTGTGAGCTGCTCTGATGACAAGGCTCCTGTTGCTGAGGATCTGGGATTTGTTGTCATATTGGTTTTGTTCTTGTGGGGTTTTGAATTTTGTGTATGCGTGTTCCTGTAGGATTGTACTCTTTTACTTAAGGTTCCTGTTTCTCGATCTCTGTGCTAGGCTTAAATTCACTTTTGTTCAGTCTCTGATGAAGAATATCCCATGTCTGCAACGGTATGTTGTCCTACACTGAAAATAAAAGCAAATGAGAGGGAGCATGTTTCTCAGAGGCTTTTGTTTAAGGGATGCTTCAAAAGCACTGAGAAAAGGTCTCTTAAATTTCTTTCTCCTGAGCCCACAAATACCCGAGTTTCATTGTTGCAAAACACTTTCCTGTCAAAGGAAAAGTAGGAGAGAAATAATGGCAGGTGGGTTTGTGCTGCTTTAAATCAAAGAGGGCAATTTATTGTTTCAGTTGTGGAGTGATTCAGTACCAGATCTTCATTGCTGGTATCTGGTCTTTGTGTATGAGCTTGAGTAAAGTTTGATTTGATAGTAGACCTTCCTGAAATTAGTCTCCTCTTCTCTGATAGTACTTGTGCTCTGGACAAGCCTTTCCATTATTGTAAGCTTCATAATTTGGCTGATGTTCTCTCTTTTGGGTTGGGGGGTTTGTCTTGCAGTTGGCTGATTGCGATTCTGGCTCAACTCAACCCTCTCTTTGGGCCGCAGTTAAGCAATGAAACAATCTGGTATCTTAAATATGACTGGCCTTAAGGATGTCTGTCCCCTGCTGCAATTTATTGACAAGGTGAGTATGATCAGACTTATTAATATATTTGGTATGGTAAAGCTTCAGAAGAAATTGAGCAGTAGCGTAAGCGGTGTGATCAGAATTGCTAGATGTTTTGCAGGAGCAACCTATCTATAGGTTTCAACAAAACATATTTTGGATGTTAATCTAGACTGGATACCATGGAAAGCTTGGACTGAATTCTTGTACGGTTATTTTTCTCTGCTATCATGTCATGTGGTGCTGTGCTCAGTGAGCAGGGGTTGGTAAGAACAGTGCATTTCTTTTTCCTACAAAAAAAAAAAATCGGGCTGTGGTGTCTTTTAATAGCTACCATAAGTGGATTTCCTAATCTTTAACAACTGTGAAACCTCTCTTCAAGCCTACTACCATTTCATCTAAGACCTGTTCTGATTTCCAAGGAAGTGTGGAAATAGGCAGTTGCCCTCATTCATCTGGGAGGTTACAGTGAGAACTGCAATTAGAATGGGTTTTTATCTCCTATCAATGTATAGCACTACCACTGAGCTTTATTTTTTTAATTAATTGGTTTTTTTAATGATAGCCCATGTGCAGCTGTAATCATAGGTGAGCCTGGTGGTTGCTCTCTGGGTAGTGCTATTGGAATGCTGTTGTTGCAGTTCTTGGGCATGCTTTCTGACACGACCAACAAAAATACAAAGTCTTGTACCAAAAGTTAGAGAAGCTGTGGATGCCCCATCCCTGGAGATGTTCAAGGCCAGGCTGGATGGGGATTTGAGCAACCTGGTCTAGCGGAAAGTGTATCTGCCCAGGGCAGGGGGGTTGAAGCTCGATGATCTTTAAGGTCCCTTCCAACCCAAACCATTCTGTGATTCTATGAAAAGTACCATGATGACTTCAGGCTTCTCTTAGAACGGCAGCATTTGGAGTTGAAGGTTCAAATGAGGGGTAGCTGTGGAAAGAGGTACACATGACTTCAGTTTTTATGCTGCTAACTGAATTAGACACGCTTATTTTTTTTTAACTGGTTTTGTTGTTGGGTTGTGGGGGCTTTTTTTGTCTTTTTAGGTTTAACTGCCTACCCCCTTGCTGTTATTACTTTAACTTCTGTTTACAGAAGCCAAATAGCAGCAGACAGATGACAGTTGATGTTACAGCTCAGTTAAATGCTGACTGTAAAGCATCCTGAACATTTACCCTGAAGCAAAGCTCTGCTGCTTCAAAGTAGGCTTCATCTGAACTGCGGTGTTGTCGACTGTGGCATGTGTATGTGTCTGTAGCTTCTCTTTTAAGCAGTAAGCAGAAGTTAAAGGTAGACTTGGCCCTGCTTCAAGTAGAGGCCTGTAATTAGCTAAGTCAGTCAAGCTGAATTTCCTATGTGCATTTTCACTGCTCGTGTGTTAACACATAATTAGTTAGCTAAAACAGAGACCAGTGTATTCTGGCAATAGACGTACAGATCCCTGAATCCCAGAGGATGATTCAGTTGCCTGGGATGTGAAATTGAAATGTCGTTATCTGGACACGTGGATGCCTTGGATATAAAAACTGGGCTTCCTTCTGACTGAAATTGTCTGTGTGTTGTAACACAACTGGAGATGAGATACAACTCTTGAACTCCAGGCATCTGCAAAAAGAATCAGAGCTTTCTGCCTCCCTTTCAGTGAAGAATTTTTCCCAGATCTGGGGGTAAATTTGTACCAAGGAAGAGAGGGAAGTAGTGCATTCTAGGATGGCCAGAAGGTTTATGTGAGGAGCTGTCATTTTTTAACCTATTAATGGAGAATTTGAGACCTGTATAGCACACGCTGTTGTGTTATGACACGGTTTGTTTCAACCTTTGATATATCTGATTTCCTTGGCTTATGTTTAGAATAAAATGGAGGTTCTTGTCCTTGTGAAAAAGAATGCTTAAAAAAAGTAAAAGCATATGATGATCCTCAAATATCATAGTTAAATACTATGTTCTTTCTTGCTAGAACTGTGCTATTACAGGGCATATACTATTCTCCACGATCTGGTTTAAATTACTCTTGTAGCATTGAGCGAGCTGAGCAGCAAGGACGTGGCTACATTGATCAGGCTGCAGTGCCCCGTCTTTTGCTGTTGAGCTTCCTGTTGAGTTTCTCACTAGAGAGGAGCTGTGAATTAGATTCCATCTGAAAGAGTTGGGATATATCTCTGACACTGCTTGAAATCCCATAAATACAGCTACCGTTTCATGTTTGATCAGTTATTTTTGGCTTTTAAGATGTGCTTTTTCAGCATTCAAGGTACATGTACTATACTTTTTTTTTTGCCTCCCATTTCTTTCAGTTGAGGTTTGGATGGATTAGTGTGGTCGATACAAAGAGTTAAAGCAAAGAGAATGAAATACTAACTCCCAGAGTGGAGAGAACTTATTTAAAAATGAGGATGGTCTAAGCAAACCCAATTTACTTGACCAACAGAGCAAGCTGAAAATGCACACAGAAGGTTACTGCGTTCTAGTGAGGAGCTTCTACAGATGCTGACTTTACTGATCTATGCCAAATTACAGAAGTTTGGTCTTTTTTTTGGTCAGTGTCCCTGCAATTCAAGTAATGATGATGTATCAGATGACTTGTCTGTACAATCAAGTTAATGGCTTGGCTGGCAAAATGTAAGAACGGGCAAACTCCTGTAGCTGTGGCACATACGGGCTGTAGCCTCTCTTAAAAAGCGGCGTTAGATCACATTGCTTCTCCTTAACTTTCTCCATTTACAGTCTGTGTTCTCAATCCAGGAACTTTCTTCATGCAAGTGCAAGAAGGACTATCATCCAGATGTCTGAGTGCTGTTACAGCATTCAAAACTTTCTAGTAGCTTAGCTGTTCTGCCAGCTTGTAATGGAATTGAACCTACTTGTAGTAACTGCAGAAATGAAACTGCTAAGAAAGAAAGTAGAGGTTATTCTTGAAGCTCCACATAGATGAATTATCTACAGTTCTTGACCATTTCTCAGTGCATTTGTGGAGTGGAAATAGTTGCATTTAACAACCAGGTCTTCAATTAGTAAATTGTTTCCATGAAAAGGAATAATTAATTTGCCTCTTGCTTTGCAGGTAAAGAAGAGATTTCCTCCAGATGAAAAACTCCACTGACCCAAAGATGCCTTTAATGTAGTTGGCTGGATACCAAGCCTGTATTAATGCCTTAACCTTTCTATTGTGCTTCAAATGGCTTGTTCAAAGCCCTGTATTTTTTTTCCGACTGTACCGTTTAACAGTGTGCCTCATGCAATTTATACTCCTCTTTGGTACTGTAATTTTTTTGCCTGTTAACTTCGGATGTGATGAAAATTTCTAAAGTTTTTACGGGTCATGAAGTCAGCTTTCCTGTTCATTTTACTCACCCTGTAGGGACACTGTATGTATCTTCCAGGTCTGAGGTTGTCTTTTCCTGTGCTTTCACCCCTGGTCTCTTTGACTGCACTTGAAAGAAATGTGTGCAATGAAACTGTATGAAGAGAGGAGAAACAGCGGTGCCTCGTGCTGATGGCATTTATTTTTTTAAAATGAGTTGTATTCTTGGGAAATTTGGTCTTAAATTTTTCGTGCCTGGGAATAAAACTAATCCTCTGCTTTATACAAAATGCTCTGGTGCCGTGCTTAACTGTTACAATGTGCTTTTCTGTGGTTTTAATCAAATGATAGTTGGCCAGAGTTGACGAAACTTAGATGACGTGGATAAACTGGAATAAAGTCATGGAGTGTGATGAGATGAGCAAGCTTGCTGCCTGCATCCGAGGCCTTTCGGGTAGTTCTAAAATAGGATTAAGTTTGTGACCTAAAATTGCTGGAAAGTCCACAGGAAGAAGCGAATGCTTATTAGCTCGAGAGCCTCTTCTCCATGAGCTTCCCACTGCTGATACCAGGCGACTGAATAGCAGAGATAACATGACGGGTTTGAATGAAGCATAAATAGGAATTTTGATAGGAGGTAGATTTAATCTCTAGCCTTTTCAGAGGATACATCTACTGATAAGCAATTTGAACAGAAAACACAGCAGTTGTTTTATACTGACTTGACACTCGCACGTGGAATTGCAAACCTGGTAGAGCACGTGGCAATGTTGGCCAGAGAGGAAGGATGGCCATGGCTCCTCCACGTCAGCTGAGTCCATGGGGTTGGCAGTGAATCTCGTAAGTCGTTTGCTAAAGAATGGCTTCAAAAGGTATAAACACTGCACAGGAGTCTGTGTGTGTACAGTCTCGCCTCCTGAAACCACCTCCAGGCAAATCGCAGTTATTCTTTACTGTGTGTTACCATTGCACGCAAGGACATAAGGGAGCGGTTTGCTGGTTTGGGTTTGTGATTTTTTTTTTTGTTGGTGTTTCTTTTTTTTTTTTTTTTCCCTTTTGGATAGCCCTGTTAACTTGTTGAGTGGGATAGTACTCATTTCTACACAGGAAATTCCAAGATCCTGACAAAACGCTGTTAACTTGGGGTGATTTGAAAATTGGACAGTGCGAATTGCAAAAGAAATGAGAACGCACCCGCTGTTACAAATAAACGTAGTGACTGTCAGGACGGGAAGAGTGGATTTATTCTTTTTTCAAGTTACCTGTTACTGAGAGCTGTATTGTAACAGGTGAGAAGTTGTACACCGTAATGCTATATGGCTTGTGGCAAATAATTCCTAAAACAACTGGAAATTGAATAATCTTATAAAAGTTTAGGTGGTTGTTGTTTTGTTGGTTGTTTTTGTTTTTAAAGTATGTGTGGAGGATAAGGTATGTTGCGTCATATGGGGAGGGGAAATGCTTCAAGGCACTGTTGACAATTCTGAATATGTAACAGTTCTTTTAAAATATATTGATCTTCCTGTCATATTTACCCTAATGTGGGACACGGAAAAAGAAAACATCCAGTGGCAAACGGTGGTGTTAGGCTATTGGTATTGTCACTTTCTTTCACATGCTTTCGGTTTTAGGTTCTGAGCTCTTGCTCCCTGTAGAAGATCCAGGAGGAGTCAAAGAGAGTCCACAGGGCGCGTTTCACTGTTGGTGAATTTCATGCAAAGAGCTGTTCAAAGCCTGGATAGACAAGCTGTGGTTTAATTTTTATTTAGGTTCTTTCCAGATAAAGAAATTTCCCTTTATCCAAACATTTAATATTTTCTCTGAAACAGGTACCAAGTAGAAGCACGATTGAAGAAGCTGAAAAAATAATCTTTTGTTTGTGTTCTGCTGAATGTTGTGTGACCTCCTGTCTGCATCGCGATGGTGGAATGGTCTGCTCTGTGTGTACCAGGAATTAACGCTGCTGAAAATTACCTCTTTTTCTGCAGGACTGCAGGAAATTGGAGCAGATGGACAGAGCCGCTGGTGTTTAACAAACTACACAGGTATCAAAGTCTTGAGCAGTTGCCTCTTGCTTTCGGACAGCAGAAGAGAACGCGGAGTGTTGAAATATAAGTGAAGGAAGCTTGGTGGTGCTTGAAGTAGATGGAAAGCCTGGGTTGGCAGGGAAACCCTCTGAGCTCCACGTGTACTGGTATTGTGGGGGGATGGAGAAAGTGTGGAGGGTTCAGGAAGGGGACTCCGTAGCCAAGTCTTGGAGACTCCAAGTCAAACATTGGGAGCACGTAGAATAAGCGTTCAGGTTGGAGTCACTTCAGATGCTTTTAACTTCTTCCGTTTATATCGTTTAGGAAATTCAAATATCTGCATCTGTGCCCCTTGTGGGACATTGTTCTGAAGAATTTGTGGAAGTTTCCTTTTCCTCTTCTGGAAATACTGGAAGATTTCACTTGTACCTGGGGGGTAAGCACTGTCAGAGTGGGCGGCTGGGCCCTTCTTGCCAGAGTCACACCTTAATGAGCAAGACAATGTTGCTTGGTCTCATTGTCAGGCATGATGGGGTTTAGGTGTAGTGGAAGGAAGCCTTGGTACCCCAGGGGCTGAAATGCAGCAGGCCGTCTAAATGCTAGAAGAAATACCCTTTACAAATAGTAACACAAGAACGGCCGAGTCTTTTTTTATTATTAATTGTTAATAATTTCTCCGGTGCTGGGGCCCAAGCGCCTGTCCCTGTGCGGGGCGGTAGCAGAAGGACGCAGGACACGAATTAGACGAGCCGCGGCCACCCCGCCTTAAATACCCTCCGCGCGCCTCTCCGCCGTCACGTGACGGGGGAGGCCCCCACCCCCCCCTCGGCGGGGCGGCGCCCCATTGGCCGGCAGAGCGGCGGCCGGCGATTGGCTGGCACGGCCTTTTCCCCCCTCCCTCCCCACGTGAGGGGGGCGAGTCACGCGATTTCCGGGAACCCGTCAGGAAGGGACATAAACAAAACAAACCCCGAAGCCGCATGGAGGGTCCGGGCCGGAGCCCGCGGGGCGGCGCCCCCTGCTGAGCCCCGGCCGCCCGGTGAGCACCGCCCGCGGGGAGGGGGCTGTAGTGACCGGGGGCGGGGGGCTGCGGGGCGCGGGAAGGGGTGTCCCGGCTCCCGGTGGGGTGGAGAGGACGGTGCCCGGCGGAGGGAGCCCGCAGCCCGCTCGGATTGGGGGGGGGGGAAGGGGGGTGTGGCTGCCGGTGCTACGGGAGAGCCCGTGGTGCTGCTGCCGGAGCTGGGGGCGGGGGTCGGGCCCGATGGCTGGAGGGGCTGCGGAGGGGACCGGAGCGCGGGGTTAGCGCCCGGTTGTCGGTGTCTATTCCGACTCTTCCCCCCCCTCCGCCCCGTTCGTCGGGAGCGGCGGCACCTTC